AACAAGGTCAGCAATTTTTTGCTGACCTCAGACACTTTTAGATCGGCAGTTAGGTCGACATGCTGACCCTAATTCCGGGGGTTGTATATATATATACAGGCCTTGGTATATATATATATATACAGGCATCAGGTCAATATATATATATATATATATATATATATATATATATATATATATATATATATATATATATATATATATATATATATATATATATATATATATATATATATATATATATATATATATATATATATATATATATATATATATATATATATATATATATATATATATATATATATATATATATATATATATATATATATATATATATATATATATTAGTTCAACAACAGGTTGCAGGTACTCTTGTACAAATCGAAAGCTGATCCCTGCATAATATTTTTGACAAATACTATCAAGCTGTTCGATTCGATTTGAAAAAAGTGAATATTGGCAAATTATTTTCCAATTTTCCTAAATAAATCAATTAATTATAAAAGTAATGACTATTTAATATAATTATAAATTACTAATATATTTATTTATCATAAAACTTTAAGTAGACAAAAAAACTTGTTAAAAGCATGAAATAGTTATTAAACTTCAGTCTCTAACACTGATTCATAAATATTGACATATTTAGTGATAAGTAAAATGTTTTAGGTTTTATATACTTTAAAAAAAAATTTTGAACTTTTTGGTTTTAAGAAGTTTTTGGTTTCAATATAAAACATTTTTCTAATATTATAACATTTCTAATGCTTCTTATAATTCAATAATTTTATACTCTGATTCTTCTAATAACATAAGTTTAAAAACATTTTAGAAATGTTTATCAACTTTGTTTTCCATCAAGTTAACAAATTTATTAAAATAATGCACCTTAATACAGTACAACATTACTAAACCATTACAATATTACAGTTTATATATTCAACATTACATTACAGTTAACATTAGAGTTTATATATTCCTCTATATCAATTAATGAGATACATGTTTAAATGCAAAAAAATATATATAAAAAGTAAAGACTAACTGTATTTCTTTTAAAATAACTGTTTTCCATAGCAAAATATCAAAAAACTTTTGAAAAATATTATAAGATTTTTAACTTTGTTAAAAACAATAAAAATGAAAAAAAAAACTTTTTGATTTGAAAAAGATAACACAAAGTGATCTGCAAACATAACTGTCATTTTAAAAAGTCACCACCAGGAGATGAAAAAAAAGGCTCATCCTTATAATTGTTTTCATTCAAAGTAAAAAAAAAAACCTGCATGGAAGTAAACATTGATAAATAAGAGATAAGCTTTTGTCAACAAAAGTGTTTATATATTTAAAACTTATAAACAAATTTTTGTTAATCTTTATGGTTACATTAATGTAAATACTCCTTAAACAGATTCTTAACGCTAGTTGTCATGACAGTTTTTTTGCAGACAATACTTACAAATATTAAACATATATTATAAGATTTTGAATTTTTTTTTTTCAGAAATGAAATTTTTATTTTTCAGTTTATTTTTTTAGTTTCAAATTTTTAAGTGTTTACATGTTATATTAAAGGCTTAAATCTAAAGAAATCCTTTATAAGTTGTAAAAACTAACCAAATTTCACACACACACACACAAAAACTTATAAAAACTTATTTAAACTTTTTTTTTTCATAATAACAATTCTTTTTTTTAAATGGTTCATTTAAGTAATTAAATAACGAATTTTATTATTTGAAATTCAATTAATTTATTTCATTGTAAATAAATACAAGTATAAACTTTTAAGTGAGACAAATAATTTACACAAATATATAATATAAATAATCTTATAACAAATATGAAAAACTTTTTTTTTTTATATTTTTTTTAACTTTTTTTATTTTAATATTTTAAGTATAAATTATATAAAAAGACTTAAATGTTGTATAAGGGTAATAAGAAATCAATAACTACCAGAAAAATAATTAAGAATAAAAAGACCTGTCATATTATAATAGACAACAGCCAAATGAAAGTTGATTAAAAAAATAGATAATGAAAATGATTTCTTTGTTGCTCTTATTGTTTTGTGTGCAAACGCAAAAACATCAAAAATTTCTTGAGATTTCTTGAGATTTCTTGAGTTTCGAATTATGATCTGGTTAATACATTATTTTAAATACTTTTACAACTTAATTACTCAAAAAAAATTAATAGTAATAGGAGTTAATGCTGTACTGGACAAGCCAGCAAGTGTTTTGTCACACACAATAAGACAAAAGTTATGCTTGATTGCTACTCAACCAAAGCTACTTTAACACAATTAATGGATTTTGCTGTTACAACTTTAATCGGAAATTAATTCCATGCATTTGCAACTCTGTTGAAAATGTTCCTTTGAAGGATGTTTAGCAAATTCTTTGTGGTATTTAAAACAATGCCCCATAAATAGTTTTTAACAATTGAAAAACATTTTCAACTGTTTATCTTATCAATGTCATGCATATATTTGTATAATTCAACTAAATCTCCGCTTTATCTTCACTTAAATAGAGTTGTCAAGCCTAATGTAATGAGTCGATTTAATTATTTAAGATTGGTAATTAATGAAACAAGCTGTTCTGTGTTGTACTTTTTCCATCGCATTACAGTCTTCTTTAATATAAAGAGACAAAACTGGAACTTCAAACTCAAAAAGTCTATGAATAAATGTTAAATAAAGAGATTTCATAAATCAACAATCTTGCAATTATTTTTTTTATTTGTCTTTATTATTGTTTTTATAAAAATAAGTTTCAATTTTGTTTAAAATAATACCTTTTAGTATTTTGCACACGACTAAAGTGAGGGTAAGTAATAATTAGCTGAAACTGCTTTGTCATCTTTTTGATGGCAGAAATATATTTGCAGACCTAAACTGAATCAGAAGTTGGCTTAAAGCTAATGATTTTCTGACAATTGATGTTAAGGAAGTGCAAACGCCTCTGAAGAATTATTTAGCCTAATTGGCTTCAATAACAAATACATCTTGAAAACATTTGTTAAAAATATTAGCAATTTTCATAAAACTTTTTTAATCTTTTATCATAAACTGATTGTTAATAAATTCTATATGTATTATTTAAAACAAATTTTATATTATTTGGATTTTGCTTTGCTTTTTTAACTAAGTCTTGTTCATAACTAATTTAAGAATTCTTTACTTTAGCTTTTATAATCCAAAATTATTTTACACACTTTACTCAAATCAGCACCATCTATTTTTTGAAAGATTTTTGAAAGACATTTTATTGCTTTAGCCCCCATGCTTCTGTGCTTGCACAGATTAGACGTTATAGTGTAAATATATCATGATGATGTACTAATTTGAAAGAATTTTACCTAAAATTATTTAACTTTAACTTGGCTTTTACCATATATAAGTATTTATATATGTATATATATGTATATATATATATTTCAACAATGCTGACTTAAAAGTGTTTGAGTTCTCAAACACTTTAAAGTCGGCATTGTCGAATATTTAGGAAAAATGACCTCTTTTTTTCCTAAATATTCGGCATTGCTAAATGTTTAGGGAAAAAGAGACCTTGTATTTAGGAAAAATGAGGTCGGCAATTTTTCTCGTATTTAGGAAAATTGCCGACCACATTTTCCCTAAATACGAGAGTTGTATATATATATAGGCATATTATATATATATATATATATATATATATATATATATATATATATATATATATATATATATATATATATATATAATAATAAAATGTGCATATGAAGAGCTGAGAAGAAAAAATACTTAAGTAAATAAATAAAGAAAATTTAAGAAAAATTACTTTTATCAGACATAACTCAAAATAAGCATTTCATAATCACGATCAAAGTAGATTTTTTCATAACATTTATTTTGTAACTTTAGTATTTTTATTCACAGCCCTTTATATATAAATCACTTTATGAAATAGATATTAATATATTATCATTACATGATAATAACAAAAATTATAAAAGTTAAATTTTTAAAGTAAATGTGATGTTAATTTAATTTAAACTCAGTGTATGATTTATAATCAGTCATTTCTACGTGGAGTGTTACTTACAAGCTGGTTAGAAGCAAATGAAACAATGGTTTTTAAAAATTTGAACAAGTTGTATACAAGCAACTACCCTTAAATTTCATTTACTTAAGTTGTTTATAAATTCATGGAAAACATTATTTACCTTACTCATTTAGATCAGAATGTATATTAGGAAAACCTTCCAAAAGTCAAAATCAAAATTAAACAGACAATTAGTTAAGAACTTTTTAATAAAACACTATTTTTTCAAAAACCATTTAATTAAAAATAGGAACCAATAAGATACTCAAAGAGTAAACACCGCATCAATTATAAAAATTACAAATAACTTACAAAAATTAATATGAAAAATGATTGTTAAAATTCATCCACAGTTAGATTTTTTTTTTCAATAAAGAACTTGATGAATAACAGATACTTCAGTTATTATTATTATTATTATTATTATTATTATTATTATTTTTATTATTATTATTATTATATTATTGTCATTATTATTTTATTATTATTATTATTTTATTATTATTATTTTTTATTATTATTATTTTATTAATATTATTATTTATTATTATTATTATTTTCATTTATTTATTATTACATTATTATTATCATAACTTTACTATTATTATTAGCACTTTTGGTGTTTACTTCAGTATTTTAGATTAGTTATATACTATTTGTAAATATCTTTTAACTGCAAACACTTTTAAGAATTTATGTGATAATATTATGTGAAGTAAAAATACCAAAAGTACTTATTTTTTCCATTTAGATTAATATAATTAAATATTTACTAATTTTATAATAAGTACAAATTATTTCTAGACACTGTGTTTTAAAACAATTATAAGAATGAAAGATTGGAATTTTCTTTCTAAATATAAAAAAAGTTACTCTTGAATTCTAAAATCCTAAAAAGTTACATACCTCCATGATGGAGTACTGTGTCTTAGTATTTTACATTAAAAAATTCTGTTTCCATTTTCCAAACAAAAGAACTCTGTGTAAAAATTTCTTTAATCTCAAACCAAAGCAATTTTATTTTATTTTTTAAGTATCTAAAAAAAAAATGATACATTTGTCAAGCCTTAGATTTGTCTAAAAAGTAAATATTCTTTAGATAAACTTTATAATTTAAGTAAGTATGTTTATACAATGTATACATAAAGATATTTTTTAAATCGCCTAGTAAGTATTGAGATTAAGTAAGTTAGGCTTGAATAACAATTTATTTACAAATGAGCAGGATAAATTAAACAATCTGAAAATTAAAACTTCATAATTTAAGTTCAGTTTTTTGTCACTGAAATAAAAATGTTATTAAAAAATTAAAAACTATTATAACGCCCATGTATGCCATTCGAGATTTTAAAAATATTTAACATTTTTTTAAATTTATTAGCCAAATAATGTACGCGGGTTTAATGCAAACACAGCCCACCATTTTAAAACTATTGTTTAGTAAATTATGATAACATTTAGGTCCGTGGGGTAACTTCAGCCAGTAAGATTAAGATTACACACCAGGGCGGGTCAAAAAAATTTTTTAAGAAGCAGCATATTGTGGGGCAGGGGGTTCCTATATATGTCTATGGGACGCATACAAATTTTGAGGCTTGTGCTAGCCTCCGTAGGGGTTGTACACAAAATCGGATTTTTTGGCATTTTAGAGAAAAAGGGGGTATAAGCAACTTTTACAATTGTTTTTATTTCATTTTGTATAATTGTAATGATTTAGATATACCACAAAAATGTTCTACTAAAATATTGTTTAGGTATTTTATAATAATAAGGGATACAAGGTGTTAAATAAGGGATATAAGCTTTAAAATGCTTTCTGCTCATATATTACCTTTTTTAAGCAAAGAAACAAAACTTTTAGAAATAAAAAAAAATAGAATGAAAAGTTTTCATAGGCTATAAAAAAATGTATATTTTTATAAATGTCTTATATCCATTGCGCTTTCCAATCAAATTTAGGCATTTTTTCTCTGGACTCCAACAGGTTTATTACAAATTTGTGACGTTTTTCATAGCCATATCTATTTTCTGATGCCTTTGTGACTACTCCAACTATTCTTTCCATATTCTGACTATGGCAAGAATACTTTTGGATACTTAATGGACTGTCATTGGCTTTCATAATATCTTTGTTTGAATAATCATTCAGTAAAGGTGGCGAATGAACTTCTTCGATGTCTCAATTTATTAATTCACAGTAATCTTTTTCTCCAAGTTTTAATGTTGTAGGAAGTTTAAAATGTCTATTGGATTCCCTAATGCTCCTGGATTTAAGTATCCTTTGAACGACTGTAGTTCTAACTTGTTTTCTTTCATCACTTATCATCGCCGATAAAATATTCTCTGGGTTAAAAAAATACGAGTTTTGCTTCAAAACTTGCTCCATTACATCCTTGTATTTTACATCAATAACTGCATTTTTTATTAATTGAGTAAGATACCAAAAATTTTAAGCCCCATCGATAGCCAAATAGTTTGATTTGGAACCATCCTGTTGCATAGCATTGCATTATTATTGTAACCAAGTTCTCTTTTTCGCTTTTCTGTAGAAATGTATAAGCGTAGAATACAACTTGCTCTTGTGAGCCACCGGGCATGATGAATGTTTCCTGGAGAGTTTTTAGATATTTCATTTGAAACTTCTCCTGATTGAATAGATATTTTTGATCTGAACTTAGTTCACTAAAGATATTATCTAGAATTAAATGAAAAGAACCATTGATTTTTTTGAAAGGAACTACTGCTAATTTAGTTAAATTCTCTGTTATTTTTTTACCAATTTCTCCTTTAAATGATCCAGAGCCAGAAGTTTTTCCATCAATCAACTCAAATACATGTTTAAAGAGAAATTCAATTAAATATAGTTGACAAATGACCCACTGCATTTTTTTCGGTTTTTCGAGTTCTGTATCAATTAATTTTATCACCCCTCCAAATTTTCCAGTATTTACTACAGTTGGATCACATAAGAGAGCATTTAAAGAACCGCTGCTGCCAGTTTCAAATATTAAATGGAGAATTTTATTGGCAATGCAGCGAGAAGTACCGTTATCAGATGTTATATGATCTATATAGCTACTGCTTGGTTCTAACAATTGTTATATGTTCTTCTTTAATTATCCATGCAGTTGTTATTGTATTGTCTTTTCTTCCATCAAAACCAATATGTTGTAATTTCAAGTTTTCGCATTTTCTATTATTTACATTTTTTTGTCCAACACGAAGTCTTTCTCTTTCTACTTTTTTTCAATCAAGCATATTTAATTCATTTAGTATACCCGTGTCTTTTAGAGCAGCATTGACAATAACAGCAGTGGCTCTGCAACTGATACGATAACGATCTGCTATGATTACTTGTTCATTGTAATGAAACCTATTTTGATTATTTTTTTTTTATGACATCAAAGTCATATAGTTTGTCATATTCATTATTAGATTCATCTAATATGATATTATCCTCAAATTCATAAAAATTGTCATCGGTAATTTGTCTATCAATATCTTTCTCAACATTTTTATGTGAGTTTAACTGTTTTTACCTTGTTACAATTTTTTTTCCTAGTTTCAGTTTTCTTTAAAGTAGATGTGTAGGCAAGATCAAGTAGTCCAAGTTGATTTGTGCGTCTCTTTTGCTCAACAAACGCATCCCACTCATTTATTGGAACTTTATTATTACATCTGCATTTCTCTCTTTTTATTCCTAAATCAAAATGATTGCATGAACATATATCAAACATGTTGTCAAAAGCTTCTAATGTTGGAATCAAGTTTCATAGAACAGGTGTTTAATAGATGATATTGTTTTTGTTGCCCGATGTTGGACTTGCTCGAGGATAGCAATGTCGGACTTTAAAGGCGGCGACCAGACTTGAACAACAAAGTTGAGGTGGGGACAAATGTAAATAAGATACAATGTGCGCCATAAATAAAAACTGCAACTCCGAAATGTTTTTTTGAGTTGCCCTAGCATTCTATTTGCAATTGATGTAGCTAAGTCTACTTATGGTCTAACGTTAAGATCTTTGGAGACCATCACACCAAGATCTCGTATGACTACAGCTGATAAAGCGTGCCGTCAATATTGGGCATTGAGTAATTGCACGTCGACTTGTTACATGCGCGACCAACATGCATTACTTTTACTTTGCCAATGTTGAAATGCATGAGCCAAATATGTGACTATTCCACTGCTCTGTCGATTGTTGGACAGCACCACTCTTCAAGTCAGCTTAAAGAGTGGTGCTGTCCAACTCGTTTTTAATTATGCCAATAACTTTACTGTCGTCAGCAGACAGTTTCATATGATGACTAATGCAGTCAGACAGGTCATTAATGAAGATTGTAAGAGCAATGGGCCCAAGACCAAGTCTTGAGGCACGCCACTAGTGACCGCTTGCCATTTGGATATGATGCCGTTGATGACAACTCGTTGACTGCGGTCGCGTAACCAAGATGAGACCCAGTCTAAGCAGTGCTATTGACCCATGGGAGTGTTACCGAGAGAACCACCGTGTTTGATGAAGATGGCATAATCTGGCTCATTTGTTATAATCAGATCAAGTGTGCTAGTGAGCTTGACGTGTTGACTACTACGGTACGTTGAGAATGTGACAAGCTGAGTTAAGTGACATTCATCTAGGCCCTTTTGAAACCTGATATCGCCTTGATGTTCATCTCTCAAGTGAGCAACTGTTGCAATGCCACCGTTAACTTCGATAGACTCATAAGATGTATGGCTAAAATTGAAATTTCCATATGATAGCATTGTCGAGCAGTTTATATTAGGTAGATACACTGAGTAAGAACCTGATCATTAAGATTGTGAGGACGATATAAGCAGCCAAGGTGGAAAGATTCTTCGCCAATTTTTATTTTTTGCCGGATTTGCTCAATTGATGTTGAGTTGTGCTGAGCAGAATTAACTTTATTGACTATAATATTGTCTTTTGTAAAAATAGAAACTCCACCGCCCCTATTGTGTCTGCCTTTGCAATGAGGTTGGTAGCCGGGTATGGCAACTTCTGAAAAATCTGTGAACCAAGTTTCAGCATGAAGTGTGACGTTTGACCAACTAAATTTAGGCAGAGCAGATAGTCTGGTCAACAGCTCTTGATGTTTGTCATAATTGAGTGAGCATTGGTTGTTTGCCCAGTAGCGTAAATGACTAGGTGGAATGGTGGAAGCGTTTGGCTGGATTGTTTTTATTTTTGCTTTGAGATTTCTGAATTAGGAGTGGCTGTGTGACTAGTGTATTCAGCCAGGGCTCTGACTGGGTATGCAAACAAATAGCACTTACTGAACATTTATTCGATGACATTGATGCAACTGATGCAATCTGTCCTTCAATATATAACGTTCCGAAACGGTTTATCTAGAATATTAGCAGCGGCAAGTCGTCATTTAGCTTCTTGAGCTGGGTGCGTGTAGCGTTGAACTCAGTTTGTTGCTCTGGCGTTCGGTCTTCGCGTACGTAGCCACCCATGTATGTCTCTTGCTTGTGATGGGCGCATGTTTTGAGTATTTCAGTTCGAGATGAAAGATTAGATTGTGAAACCTGGATAATGTTCGAGTTTGATAACTTTACTTTGTTTTTACTCGTTTTGATGCGGTTAACACGTACAATACCAGTAGCATCTTTCAATCCCAACAAGTTTTTTATCGTCTGCTGTGCTAGACTTGTTAAGACCGACTGCAATGATGTTTAACTCGTGACTTTGAATATTTCTATTTTGAGCGGCTATAAAGGTACTTAATTGCTACCGTTGCTGTTTGCTCTCGTCCGTTTTGTCCGTGAGCAAAGATACAAATGATGGCGTGGTTAATGATTTTATTTCTTTCAATTCATTAATATTTTTGACCAAAAAATCTATTTTGTCTTTTATGGCTTTTTCTCTTACTTCACTATATCGTTTCATATGTGCCAGTGCAACAAGTTCAGCTGGCTTGATCATTAGAGCGATACCATTTTGGTAACTTCTTATTAGAGTAGCGTTTAAATCCTTTATATCTATTGCTGCTTTGAAGGCGTTGATTGCTATTTCTTTGATTGTAGAC